GTCTTTTTTGGAGAAGCTAATAATAAATAAATAAAAATAAAAAATGAATAATCAATTGAAAAGTTGGGTTAAGTTTTCCATTGGGATGAGAATCGATTCCATATCCGATACTTACAAATCTGTGAATTCGATATATCGATTTAGTTGTCGCCCCTGGGCAACACTGAATAAAAAAAATTCATATAAGAAGTCCATTGCTTTCGAGTAAAAGGAAAATGTCGCCTAAGTTTCCAAGCTCGATATTTTTGGAACCTTTGTTCCATTTAGCAATTTTGTTCACAAAACGTCAATCTGTCAGCCTGTGGAAACCGGAGGTCGATATTTTGTCTGGTTCCAAAAATATTGAGCTGGAAAGTTAGGCGACAAACTGTCCTTGCTCGAAAGCAATTAGACACTAGCTGACGTCACATACAACCTTTCGATGAGGGCGTTTGAAGGTCTATTTTTACACGCAGGCGCTAACTATTACGTCAAAAATCATATAACCTCACTTTCGATAGGGGGACAAAAATGGCATGTGTGTGACGTTAGCTAGTGCCTAATTGTCCGGCAGTTTATTTGAAAAATGGACGTATTTGAAATGAATTTTAGAATTATTGGAAATTGAATGTAAACATGCATTTATGATTTTCAGATGTGTTATTCCCAAGGTGCCATATTGATTTGAGAGAATTTCGAATCACCGTATTGCTATGACTTCTGAAGGTAATAGGTTGTCTGGTAATGGGTAGTTTCATGACGTCATCTGGGGTGCATTATGGAAATTTGCATTGTGTTGAGGCATCCCAAATGACGTCATAAAAGTTATCAGGCAACCTACCTCTCCCAAACAACTTTGCGCACAGTACATTTATCTACTACGCACGTCCACAACTGTCCTAGTTGCTTACATTCTAAACTAGTAAATCAACACCTTCAAAAACATTCTTTGTTCATTTATTTTAGTTTCGATATCAGTGACTTTCACCCATTCTCCCATGTAAATCTCCATAAGAAAATCTAAGGTCCAATTTACACTTAGTATCTGCAATAGTAGGTATTGCAGATGATAAGAGATTATAGCTTGAATTTTTTTAATTAGCCACTGCTTTAGTGGTTAGAGTATTGGATTTTAGTCATTTTAGTGCAATGGTCCAAGGGTTCGGTACCCCTGAATTGAAGGCTGTCGAGTGATGACGTTAAACGGTACAAAAAAGTGCTTGGACATTAGATTTTCTTATGGAGATTTATATGGGAAAATGAGTGGAAGTGCGCGAGCTCTGTCCTAGCACCTTTACTCAGACCACATCTGGTACACCGACAGCTCTTCAAGAGTGTCCAAGACCAACAAGGGGATCGGAGCTGGTATTTACGGAGCTGGTCGATCAATTTTAAGCTGGTTGGGGACTTCATATAGTTGCTTAGAGGAGGTAGGCCTGTCCAATAGATTACCCATAGTCATATGGACCACCGAACTGACATAATAGGCCCAGAACCACTTTGCGAAATCCTGCCTTTCCAAAACATCTATTAAGAACTGGATAGACAGACATTTCCAGAGCTGGTGGCAGCAAACTACAGAGATGTTTGCTCGCGTCTCAAAGTTTTGAAATATTTTTGAAAATTGGTTTAAGATAGTTTCACAATAACGTCATAATTTCTCGTGGCTAGAAAATAGTTTTTTTCTATGAGTATTGAATAATATGCATAATATACATCCATTGTCTATTGATCAATGTGAATGATTACTCATGCAGTGAGTTTTTTTTTTTCATTACTTAATTATTTTCAACCAATGAAAATAGCCTGGTAGCATTACTCCATTATTTAAGAGCCAATTAGAAAATTCGACAAGTTGACAACATTCTTCAACCACAGCATCTTCAACCGTCCAATCGGTCATTTTGACAGCTGATTTGGACAAGGCTTGTACTAACCAAACCTCATTTTGTCCTCCAACATATTTTGTTACGAAAATTAAATAAAAAACCGCATAACTCGTACCTATCATCTATTAATCATAAAAAAAGTATAGTATTCTACTCGTAGGTAATGGCTATTACTCACTCGGATGATTACACTACTCGCCTGCGGCTCGTAGGTGAGTAATAGCCATCATCACCCGCCAGGACAACGACTGTATCAAATCCTGATCGCCCAAATTCACAGCAGGCCTATACTAAACAACAGCCGCAAGATTGTTAGGATAACGGTAGGCCACTTAACAGGGCATTGCAAACTTAACAAACACCTGAAAAGAATGAGTCTTGCAGAAGATAGCCTGGCAGAAGATAGCCTAGCAGAAGATAGCCTGTGCATCTTGTGCCAAGAGACAGAAGAAAGCGCTATGTAGACTTAGGTTTGCGAAGCTCTGAGAAAAAATATATGGAGCAGCCAGTATCATGGCCTAAAGACGAGTCTAGAGAACGCACTCTAAGGACAGATAGGAGACATCACAGTGATAAAAGACACCTCTGCATCATCTCCATTCAAACAAATCTAATTTCTTAATACAAAACGTACTTTGTACCCTGTGTACCTACTATATTCTTGTCATTTGTGTCCGATTGTGTCTCAAAGTGGGTTAGACAAATAGATAATTTCCCAAGGTCGAAATCTCTGCCTTTCTCCCTCGTTCGATATGATAATGTTGTCGCAGAGCTTCGACAAACAATATCCGCCTCCAGCAATGACTCCGTAATGGCCCCAACCTGAATCTATGATGAAATATAAACACGACAAAGATATTACGGAGCCGCACTAGCAGCAGGTCTTGGGGTGTGTTCCCTGTATATTTATTATCCTTGAAGAAGGTTTTTACGTATAGGGGGGATTTCGAAACCTTCAATTACCTACTCGGTGTACAAGCGATGGAGCTTATTGTATGCGCTGATTGTTGTGAACCAGATTGGAAAATTAACTGAGCCGAGCCAGCACACAGACAAGGTCTCTTTATATTGTGTTTTTCTCTGTTCCCCGGTTTTAATTAAATTTTCGGCTATTTGTTTTATTGAATTAGAAACTTTTCGCCAATAAGGGTTTTGTTTGTTTTTTTCCTATAAAATTTATATTAAAATTTTTATGGCAGAAGATACAAAAAATGTCTCATAAACTCCGATTTATGTACATTTACAAAAATACAGTAATTTTTCCGAGTAAATATTGGTTTTTCCCGTCTCCATTGATGCACAAAGAGCATTTCATATGGGCGAAATAATTTGCTGCCTAGATCGGCCGATTTGATACGATTCAAAAAGTCCAGACTTTGTAAATAGAAACCATAGCGTTGCGACTTTAGAGTAAATTCAAATGTATGGACTTTAAAGCTAGAGGTTTTTTTTTTTAAGCCACAAAGATGGAAAACTAACCAATCAACTATATAAAAGTCAAGCCTCATTGAGAGGTGTTTGAAATTTCAATATATTCAGGGATTGGCAGCTAAATGGCAAAAATTTGCTTGAAATTAACTGGCCGTGACATTAGATAATTGCCGCAAAGCGAGACGAAACAATTTGAAATGTTAATTGGGCCGATCGAGAAAAGTTTTCTTTGTCCACTTTTCAAATGTCAACAAAGGAGTGTAAAACTCCCCCAGACTTCGAGGAAGTTTTACCTTGAATTGTTGCCAAAGTTGAGCAAGAAGAAAGATAAGCTCTCGAGGGGGATTTGTATATTATTACCCATAACAGTTTTTTTTTCTGAGTTTGATATAAATTTCCAACTACTAATTATCTTAATTCTCATGCCGGGCGACTGGAACTTCTTACTAACTTAATTTCCGACTGTAAAGGGGCCACATTTTCGACTATTTAGTAGACCGCCAAGTTAAAGCCCGTACACACACACATCTGCGGTAAACGAAAGGCTCGTAAACTTCTGCCTTGAGCGGAAATGGGCAAATTAACGTCAACGTTCCTGCTGGCATTTTTGCGATGGAATATAATGTTGTTTAAAGCCAGAAGAGAGAGAGCGGTGAATGAAATATGGATGCGGATTTCGCTCAGAAATGTCATTTTCGGAATTTCAATAATGCTAGAAACAAAGATTCAGTTGAGAAACGCCCAGTGCATTTTCAATTTAATCATGAAATGTACTATTCAACTTCATATTTTATTATTTATTCGCCTTTAGCCTGGAATATTTCAAAGTTTTGCCAGGCATTCTTTAAAATTAATTACATGCAAAATATTTTGTCAACTTACATGTTAATTAACTCACGCACTTGATCGATTGTGTTCGCGCCAAATAAATAAATGTGTACGCACGTAAACCGCGCCCCTACAAAAATCCAACCAAACCCCCCTTTTATAGTCCATCTACACCGGTATCCGATTCATTATTACCGCAAAAATAAGCAAAAGTCGGGACACGATTTCGAAGAAAAGTGTCCGCGCCAGAGGGTTATTTCGACGCGCAGCGGCGCCGTCGAATATCGGAACCCGAAAACGCTATGAACCGTCCTCGACGCTTAGTAGTAGTGGCCATGCTACTACGTGCCGCAACACGCACGCCTCTATCGCTAAAAACGACGCTGCTATGCTGCTCTGTTGCTCGGTTTCACGTGTGTGAGAATTGTGAATAATAAAAAAGTGTGATTATGTAGTGATGTGTGAACGATAAAGTTAAAGGCTTCTGCTGTAAATACATAAAAGAGGATACTGCACACACGGTCCCTAATCTTGTTATTACATTTATTGTTTTGAATCCTACAAATTTTCCATAATTTAACATTGCACGATTTCCAAGTTATTGTGATCGCGCTCAATGGAAACCTTTCTAGTTGGTTTGCACCTTTACAAAAGCACTCTCCACCATGGAACTTTATAATAACGTCATATCCAACCACCGTAAAAAGTATTGTGTATAAACCTGTGATTCTCTTTGATTGTTTAGTGAATAAACCTTTAAGACAAATTAAGTGTACCTGTGATATTAAATTAATCTTGAAACTAAAAGAAGATCTTCCAAAATCAAAGGGGTTTGTTATATTAAAAAAAAAAAATCTTTTATTCCTCCTTTAGGTAATCCAGCCATGGCAATGAGCGGTCAGTTTTTGACCTTTCTGGTTCTGCTCGTGCTGGGACAAGTTTGCAGCAATGGTAAGTCAAATATCAATTTTATTATTTGCCCACGCACCCATGGCGAAATTTAATCCGTATCAATCATAATCAAGGAAATTGGCAATTTTTTAGAGAGACGGTTTGAATTTTAGCCCGGTGCGGGGTGGTTGCATGTTCGAACGCCATTTGGGGCAGTCGCTGGACGAAAATGCACTCGAGATAGAACCAACGGTGGTCAATTAGCAACCGATTCCGGACCATGTCTAGATCGGTACGGGAAAGTATAAATTTTAATGTAAAGTGGTATCTAGACACGCTAAACCGATGTAAAGTTGGGGTTTGCTTGGGCAAAAAGTAATGAACTACTGGATGTCGGAAGTCTGGTTACGTGTTCTATAGGAATACCCGCGTATTATATATTTGGATCGTTCATCAGTCAATGATGATTTGCTGTCTACTATAATATTTATTAAATAAAATTTTGTGTTTTATAAAGTGCGTGTTACAAAAGTTTTAATTGGTAAGTACTTCATTAAATTATTGTATTATTTCTGTTAAATATTGTAAATTAAAATTGCCCTTATGCATATAACCTGGCCTTCTATATATGTATAAACAAAGGATTTAATTTTGAAATTGTCTGAAAACTGAATTTCCATTATTATAATAGGCTACATAATATAACCGAATTAATACCGCGGGCTTTTGATGAAAATATTCGTCACAAACACAATATTGTATGCATATTAAAAATTTAATTTTAACAAATAATATCGTTATCATTAATTCGGACCGGTAATTTTGATCTATGAGTTCATTTTAAACGATGAATGATAAAAAAATAATTATCGCCAAACAATAAATAACACATGGAATTAGATAAGAGTTACCGATAAAAAAACCATTAGAAAATATAATATCGCGTGTATTTTCACACCGATCAGATTAGCCGTTAGTTTGTCTCGAATCTAAAATAAACAATTATTACTATATCGAAAAATGCCTCCGCAAGATTTGCAAAAGTTGCAAGGAGGTATTTCGAAAGCGAATCGAGTAAACACGATACATATAAAAGTGTTTGATCGGAGCAAACAATAAAAGTAACTTTTAAATTAAGCCCGCGCTCTTGCTCCGAGCACGTACTAGGGGATTTTTGTGTTTTATTCCGATTCGAACGCAACTACGTTTGGGGTAATTTTTTAGTTTACACTAATGCTATCGTTTCTTAAAAAAAAAAAAACAATCAAAGATTGCTATATTTTTCTTTAATTTTGTCAGTGAACTTTAATGTCAAAATGTCATGTCAAAAAACCTGACCAATAAAAAAACAATAATGCTGTGTATAGTCTGGCAAGTGGTAACTTGATAGAGATGAAATGGGGAACCTAAGAATATTCACTGACACCGCCTGATGACAACCATGTCTTTGGGTTCAGTGGCACCGAAAACACCAAAGAAATCAACCAATAAAATCAATAGTTATTTTTGTATCTAGGGCGCGAAATGCTACTTTGGTGATCGAGATCTAATTTTTTTAACGAAAAAAATAGTCGAGATCACCAAAGTATTTCGCGCCCGAGTTGCAAACAATATTTTTTCTACAACTCCATTTAAATATCGATCATTTGAAGCTAAAATTGCATTTTCAAATAAAAGTAGGTGAATTTTAATTATTTTTGGTTTCCTGACAGGTATGTGTCACCATGACACCCGGTGTGCGAACTAGCTGTTTCGCGCACGGCGTCATGGGAACATTAAAAAATCATTACCTGGGAAAAAAAGTGTGACTTCGCAAACTGTCATAAGTGTGCGAACATTATCATTTTTTGACAGTTGTAGAAAATAGATTTTTTTTTTCGCCAATGACTATGCCACTGTGCTGTCAATCAAACTCTAACCAATAGAATAATTCCTCTGAATAATGACGCCTCTTCACATCCATATCATTTCGCAATGTTGCCGCACCTTTTTTATTTCAAAATACTACACATTACTTATATTGTAAGACCCTATGTTATCTTTATACTAATTATTCTCCTTTCCTATGATAATTATAAACGTACGCTTATGTCAAAACTCATAATAATGTAAAACTGCTTAATCAGCGGTACTCCACTGGTAATACCACCATTCCGCCTACGTAAATGCCGCATCAGTTTGTCACACTCATATACCTTATTTATTTTAAAAGTTTTCAATACTTCTAGCAGTTCTCGTTTCTTGTTTCTTCAAAATATAAATAATTTTGAATTTCTTCTTTTGTATTATCAGAGTTAGGAATGATTTTTGCTTGCCGACTATGATAACTAGCATTGTCCGTTACAATGACGCTATTTTCGGCTATATTATTATATACAGGGTAGTCGCCTCGGTCAATAGTAGCCAAACCGTTGAACTTATGAAAAAATGTTCTATATAAAAGTTTCAGCATTTCATGTCTTCTATGACCCAAAATTATTTTCAAGGATACAGGGTGTCTCAAAAAAGTGTAATCACAAATTTCATGTTTTTTTTAAATAGAATAACTACCGTATGTTTTTATGCGTCAAATGAAGCCTCTATATGCTCTGTATTCAACTTTAAAATCGTATTTGGGTTGAATGCAGCGTTGCCAAGTTATGATTTTTCGAAGAAAAAAATAGACCAAAACATACTTTTTAAAAATTGTCATATCTCCGCCACTGTTCTATAATTTCCCTTTAAAATATTTATCTAAATACGTCAATTTTATGGAGTTTTTCATATACAACACCCCGTATATTATTTTTCTATCGAAAGGCTGAAAATGTCCTCTTTCAGAAAATATCATATTTGCCGTATTTGTCTCATCAATATTTTGAGATATTAATATTTTCCCTTAACTTTGCACAAAAAAACGGTAAGCAGTAAAGTAATTTGGTATTTTTACCTGGAAAGTTTTTCGGGAGTTTTGAAAATTTTCTAGGTTTAGACGTGTTCTTTCCGAATTTCTACTTTGCCACCTCGAAACAGGTTTTTCACAAAATCTCCTTTTTTTAACGTGTTTAGACAAATATTTTGGACACCCTGTATACTTAAATCGAAAAATGAAGATAATAATCGACCAGCGTTGCCAGATGAAATAGAAAAAATTCGTGAAAATCTAGAAAAAAAAATCGTGAGAAATCGTGAATTCACTATCCGCAGGAATGCTCATAACATAAGGCGTAAGTTTGCCAATCCTCGAATCGGCAGCTGGTCTGCGAGTGACGTCACCATTATCAGCAGCTGATAGTGCTGATGTCACACGCAGACCTTGATGGATTGCTTGCGATTTAGGCTGTGCCTGTGAGTCGATTTTAAATTTATAAATTTTGATTTTAACGTTTGGGATTTCGGATACTGCAATTTACGCCAAGAGTTGAGGTCTGAGACTGACATGGCAAACACTTTCGGCAATTGCATCTGCGAGAAAAAAGAATACATTTTGACAGATGTCACGTGATTTGACAAGTGAAAAAAGATAAGTGATTACGTGGCGTTCGTCAAAATTTGCTCTTTTTGCTCGCAGAATCAATTACCGAACCCAGTTCTAGTGTTCTTGGGCGCGCATGTACCAGAAGCGGCATAATATAACTAAATAATGTTAAGTGGATTTAATGTCGATTAAACATTATATTTAATTACTGATTTGTACTACTACAGAGAGAATTCGTGAGAATTTCTACCTCATTCGTGAGATCGTGAAATTCTGACAAAAATCGTGTAATCTTATGAATAATCGTGAGATCTGGCAACACTGAATGCAACTACGCTAACATTAGACTACACGTAAATTTTTAAGGAAAACTAATGTACATACAGTGGTAGAAATATGACAATTTTTAAAAAATAAGTTTTGGTCCATTTTTTCCTTCGGAAAGTCATAACTTGGCAACGCTGCAATTAACCCAAATACGATTTTAAAGTTGAATTAAGAGCACATAGGAGCTTCATTTGCCACATAAAAGCACACGGTATTATATTTAAAAAAAAAAAAAAACATAAAATTTGTGATTACTCTTTTTTGAGACACCCTATATACTTGAAAATATTATTAGGTTATAGCAGAGATGAAATGGTAAAACTTTTATACAGAACATTTTTCCATAAGTTCAACAGTTTGGCTACTATTGACTGAGGCGCGTTTGTTGCACTTATACATTATACCACAGATAAGTCCAACGGAAAATTATTCTCGGGAAAACCATTAAAAACTAAAATTATTGAATCAGTGACTACTATTTATATTTTTGGTTATTTTGACTTGATATGCAATATAGATTATATTCTCAAAACTAGGATTAACTTAGGTCATCAGGTATACCTATATCACGTGGCTAAAATAGATTCGGTGAAAACCAAATTTTTGTGTCCATCCCTATCAACTCTTTATTGAATCCAGGCAGAGGCCTGAATAGCCATTTTCTGATTATCAATTAATTTGTAACAAATTGGCGCCCAACGTGGGGCCAATTTGTTACAAATTAATTGAAATTTATTACTTTAAGACAAGATAACCTAGGGTCGTGGAATTCAAAAAATTAAGATAACGTGTGGTCCCTTTATGTGCAAATGAAACCACTCAAAATCCAACAAACAATAATTTTATTTCATTTACAATGTTTTGTAATATAGACTAACAGCAAATGTTACTTTCTGTAAAATTTGAGTGTTGACAGCTTGGTTTTTCTGGTGAATTTGATACCATGTACCTTTCCAATCCGGAGCTCTTTAATGGGTGTTGGGGTTCCACTTCCGTTAACTGTAGCTCTTCGTGTTGTTTCCTGTATCCAGGAAGAGGATAGATTGCTGGGGTGACGTCACTCCAGCTGATCCAGACTCCAAACAGTGATTTTTATGTCGAGTTAACAGAAAAGAATAAGGCAGTATCAGGTTCACCAATATTTGGAATATTAAATCCCTGAATTCTGTCAAAAAATGAGTGTCTTGCAAAGGAAATTGAAATTCAGATTTAATATAAAACGATTGTTGTACAGACACTCCCTTCCAACAGAATTAGGTATGAACAGCTATTGCAC